ATGATTAAATCCTAGATGCAAATTTTGAAAAATTTACTCATCTTCTATTTATATTAATTGGGGGCCACACCTGGCGCTACTCAGAAAAACACCAAATGAGGAGCCAGAGTGCAGTTAGGGTACTTGCCTTGTACTGGGTTCGATCTCTGTCATCCCATAGGGTCCCCCAAGCACCACTAGGAGTACCAAAGTGCAGAGGCAGGAGTAACCCAAGTATTGCCTTGGGTGTAACCCAAAAAGCAAAAAAAAAAAAAACCCACAACCCAAATGAGCTCCCCCATATGTTGTACATAAAGAAAGCAAGGGAGTAAACAATGACTATTAGAAACCTTAGCTTCTAGGAACAGAACAGTAGTGGCAATGGTGGAAAAGAATGGTAAAATGCACAGTGGTGGGAAGATATTGGCACGTTCATGATGGGTGTAGTATGTGCTACTGCACCCCTAAAACTTATAAGCATGTAGATATTTCCTGTTTGGTTTGTTGTTTGTTTGGTTACTTTGGGGGGATGGGGAGTGGGGGGTGGACACACCCAGCACTTAGGGTTCACTCCTGGCTCAGCACTCAGGAATTACTCTTGGAGGTACTCAGAGCACTACCTGGGGTCCTAGGGATCAAACCAGGTCAGTCATGTGCAAGGCAAATGCCCTTCTCACTGTACTATCAACTGTGACCTCATTTGGGTTCTAATTTTATTATTTATTTTTCTTTTCTTTTATTTATTTTTTTTTGCTTTTTGGGTCACACCTGGCAATGCTCAGGGGTTACTCCTGGCTCTGTACTCAGGAATTACTCCTGGCGGTGCTTGGGGGACCATATGGGATGCTGGGGATCGAACCTGGGTTGGCCGTGTGTAAGGCAAACGCCCTACTCACTGTGTTATCACTCCAGCCTCTGGGCTCTAATTTTAAAATTACCTCAATAATTAAAAATCTTAGGGCTAAAGAAAAAAATAAAAAATAATGGGGGTCAGAGACCAAGTTTTTTAGTGCTACTTCTTTTGAAACAAAATGGTTAAAACACCTTGTTCAGGGGCCAGAGAGATAGTATAGTGGTTAAGGCTCTTGCTTTCATGCACCTGACCAAGGTTTGACCCACGACAAAGTATATGGTTGCGAGCCTGGCCTGGAGCATACCCTAAGCAGAGCCAGGAGCAAGCTGGTGTGATGCCAAAACAAGAGCAAAAAACCATGTTCAAATTAAGTTGATTTAAAACGTGCGTTTTTGAAATGACTACAGATTTGGAAGTCAAAGGCAGCAATCAAACATGGGGCTAGAGTTCCAAATACCTTATTTTCCTAAGGTGTTCACATGAAAATCTTGCTAGCACTTAATAGTAAGTAGACTAATTAGTGTTCTACTATGTTTACGCTTTCATTCATACCAAATCCCCAAAGAAAACAAGATCTAATCTATAATGGCCAAAACAAGCCCTGTACATTCTTGTTTCTTTTATAATTCTTCCCGTTTCCCTCCAAGTCCTCCTTCCTCTCCACTAGAGAGAGAACCTAAAACACCATTTCACAAGAGAGCGAGTGCTACTAACGCTGATTTCTCATGGTTCTCTCAAACAGAGTCTTCCCCGGGCCTTCAGAGGTCAAAGGCAGCAATGAAACATGCAGCTTGAGTTTCAAATACGTTATTTTCCTAAGGTGTTCACATGAAAAATGCACCCCCCACGCACACACAAGAGCCGACAGTGAGACAGGCTCACTGGGGTGAGCACAGAGGGGCTCCAGCCCCCGGCCACTGGACTAGTGCTGTTGGCAACCCACCGCTGGCAGCACTGAGGAGATGGGTGCTCTCCTGAAGCCCAGCTCAGACATACACATCATCGTTTCCCTGAGCCCTGCCCACTGCAAAACTGAATATGCTCAGAAATAGGCACTTTCAAATCCGACTGCTGCACCTTAGCTGCCTCCAGTGGAGTACAGAAACGCCACCTAGCCAGCAAAGGTGTGATGATAACACACACATGCATGCACGCACACGAATGCACATACACATGCATGCACACATGCACACATGCACACATACACGCACGCACACACGCGCTTATCTCTCAGTATGGGGCAGGCAGGGAATCAATGTGTGAGGGCTGCTGTTACCAAAAGGGTTACTGGATTAAAAATGGAAACCCATCCTCTGGAAGCCCATCCCATCCTGATACCTACCATTTTATGAAATAATAAAAAGCATGAACCATCTTCCTGCTTTTTCAAAGATCTTTTTCTTCACCCACCAGTCTCATCCTACTGTTTTAGATGTGACCGCCATTGTCTCATATGTAGGACTTAGACACACCACAAGGTAGTAACAAATGTCCAAAGGCAACATAACTGCAGCACTATGCATAATAGCCAAAATCTGGAAACAACCGAAGTATTCAAGAACAAACAACTGGATAAAGAAACGATGGTACATGTACACGTGGAATATTATTCAGCCATTGGCAAAGCAGAGTCATGCAAACTGCTGCTACATGGAGGGACCTCAAGAGAACCATGCTCAGTAAACTTGGAGAGAGCAACACAGAATGATGTTTGTCCTCTGCGGGATCTAAAGAAACAGAATGGTAGGCTAACAAAGATGATGGAAACAAAGAGATGGGACCTGGCACTCAGTAGAAACATGCCACATTAATGGAGTGCAGGGAAGTGTTCAAGCAGGAGGAGGAGGAGGGGGTAGCGCTGAAAAGGGTAAAGTGTTTTGTCTGAAACCCTATCAGCAATAGGCAAAAACACACAAAGTCTTGGGGCCAGACTGACAGTACAGTGAGTAGGGCACTTACTCTGCACGCGACCAATCGAGGTTCATTCCCCAGCATCACCCCATATCGGCCCCCAAGCACCCCCAGGAGTAATTCTTGAGTGTAGAGCCAGGAGTTACCTTGAGCACTGCTGGGTTTGATCCAAAACGGAGGGAAAAAAAAATAAAACGCCTCTAGACTGGAGAGATACTACAGCAGGTAGGGTGTTTGCCTTGAATGCAGTTGACCCAGGTTCAATCCCCAGAATCCCATATCCCATATACCACCCCCCTCCCAATTCAGAGTGCAGAGCCAGGAATAACCTCTGAGCATTCCGGGGTATGATTCCAAAAACAAAAAACAAAAAAGTCTCTAGTGGAAGCAGACTGGCAGGTAGGCACAGAAGGGACTAGGCGCGCTGGTTGAGGGAAGTGGACACTGGAGAAGGAATTGGTGTTAGAATACTGTATGCCTGAAACCAAATTATCAATAACTTTGTAATTTCACAGTGACTAAATTTATTTTTAAAAATTGGTATCTTGGGGCTGGAGCAATAGCACAGCGGGTAGGGCGTTTGCCTTGCACGCGGCCGACCCGGGTTCGAATCCCAGCATCCCATATGGTTCCCTGAGCACCGTCAGGAGTAATTCCTGAGTGCAGAGCCAGGAGTAACACCTGTGCATCGCCAGGTGTGACCCAAAAACCAAAAAAAAAAAAAAAATTGATATCTTATGTTTAAGAATTAAAAAAAAAAAACAGGAGAACTGATCCACATAACTGATTTGGGGAGTGGGAGTCTGGCTCATTGGAAACGGGAGAAGGGTACACTGGTATAGTGCTGAAATTGTGTGCACAAGAAACCAAAAAATAATAAATTTTAAAAAGTGTCATTGCTATTCAGCCACAAAGTAATACAAATGCATAATAACAGATACACACACAAACAGGAAATGATACCAGCACGTTTATTCATGTTCTGTAGAAGCTGCTCTTGGAAAAAAAAAATCAGTGCAGGACAACGATCATTTGCAAAAGATAACAGGACTTTCATACTCGGCCCTCTTTATACAGACAAAAGTCCATCCGCCCCACCAGCCCTGCTCAGTACAGTCCAGACTCTGCTGGACTAGCCCTTCCTCTCGGGAAGCAGAGGAATAAACTGCTAGAGGAAGTGCTTCACATGAAAGATACTGATCACTGCTCACTTGGCAAATATGCCGGAGAACACCATGCGTGTATCTGAAAAGCAGCGTGGAAAAGGTCATTAGTTCTCAAGTCAAGGTCACAGTAAGCAAGTCTGTGATGTGTTTTGCATGCAGTGACAACCCCCAATTTCCTCTTTTCAAGAAGTGATTAAAATAGTACTGCGTGTGGTCATCAACTCCAAACATAAAGTTTCTATCACCGGGAAATCCTGATCATCCAGCACGAACTGCCGACGAGCAAACCTTTAACAATGTAACCCGCGCTGCTATAACGCCAGATCACAATGCTGCACGATTCACTCGTTCAGGGGAGGACCGAGTTTGGGAAGAAAGACAAAAGCCAAGCCAAAGAACAAAACCACAAAGGAATTTCCTCTGTGCCCAGAACTGAAACAGAACGAAACAGCTGAGACGAACTAACCGGCTGGTAAAGGGCACCACGTCTAGCTAATTCCCCATGAAGGAACGGAGGGTCCCCGCACGCTCAGCCCCACCGAAACCCGAAGCCCAAAAACCACCTTTTAAGAGCCACAAAAATAACATGTACCGGAGACAGAAAAACCAACAAGATGCAGTTAAATGCATTCGGAAACAAACGCTGAAAGGTGTGCCTGTCACGGTGCAAGTGCTGAGGCCACCCGCCACCCACGTTCGGGCTTGCTGGGCAGTGCCCGACCACTGGCCCCGAGCGAGCGCGGGGCTGCCCTTGAGCGCGCCCGCATCCACGGCCGCACCCCGCACCCACGGCCGCGTCCCGCACCCCGCACCCCGCACCCATGGCCGCGTCCCGCATCCCGCACCCACGGTCGCGTCCCGCACTCAGAGCCGCATCCCGCATCCCGCGCCCGGCCGTGCCCCGCTCCCCGCCGACGAACGCCCCGCGCCCCGGACGTGCCCCGCGTCCGGCCAGGCTGCTCGCGCGGCGCGCAGGGCGTGGCGCCCCGGGTCCGGGCACCCGGTCGCCGCGGCGGTCCCGGGGGCGGGTGACCTTCCGGCCGTGCACCCGCCGGACACGCCCCCGCGGGCGCCCGGGCCCGCTCGCTCACCTGCACCGTCAGCTCCGCCGCCCCGAGCTCCAGACGCGGTGGCTGCGCTGCTCGGGCCGGCTCGGGAGGCCCCGCGCCCCGGCTGCAGACCACGGGCAGGGACGGGCGGCGGCCGGGCGGCAGCGGGAGGCGGCGGCGGCCGCGGGGGAGGCGGAGGCGGCGGCGGCTGAGGAGGAGGAGGAGGAGGAGGAGGAGGACGACTCCGGGCGCCGAGCTCGCGGGGACCCACCCTCCTCCCGGCCGCTCTGCACCAGCCACCGCGGACCACTTCCGGGGCGCGGGGCGCGGGGTGGAGTCTCGGGCGCCACTTCCGGTCCACGGGCTCCCGTGAGGGCGGCGGGCCCGGGCCGGGAACAATGGCCGGGTGGGCGCGGCTCGGAGCCCCGAGGAGGCGGAGTCGGCCTGCCCGGGGGGAGCGGGGGGCGGGGGTCCCGGCCGCCTGCCTGGAGGTGCTGGGGGCCCCGGCCGCCTGCCCGGGGCGGGGAGCTGGGGAGGCCCGGCCGCCTGCCTGGGGACAGCCCTGGGGGAGCCGGGGGTCTCGGCCGCCTGCTCGGGGGAGCCGGTGGTTCCTGCCGTCAGAAGGCGCTGGTTTGCAGACGGGCCGCGGAGGTGGCCCTGCTGGCCAAGCCCGTCCGCCATGGCCCAGCCGCGGTCTGCAGCCCACCTCGGCCCGTGACTGGGGGTCCCCCGCGAGCTCGCGGGGCGGCGTGGGCCGCGGCCGTGGCCCCCAGCTCCGTGCACACTGAGGAAGCCGACAAGGCCTCCGTGCAGACCCGGGATCCGGAGCCGAGGCGGGCGGGCAAGCGGGTCAGCGGGCTAACCGGTCAGTTCCGCAGGCCGGCGGCGGGGCTGGCCAGTGTCCGCATCCCAAGTAGCCGCGCCCGTCACGGGCAGGGGTAGTCGATCCCGGGCTCAGTCTCGGCTACGGGAGTGGACGTGGTCTGGTTGGGACGTGGTCTGGTTGGGGGACGTGGACGCGGGGTAGGAAAGGTGGGGTAGGGATGCGGCGGGGAGGGCTGCCCGCCGATGGCGCGTGCCTGGAAACCCACGCACACGGCTCTGACCGCACTCGACAGTTCCAAAGCGGGCTTGGGGGAAACTGCTGCAATATTCTTTTGTTTTTAAAATTCCCGTTGAGAGCGGCAGTACAGCCAGTAAGGTCGCCCCGACCCTGGTTCCATTCCGGGCACTCCGTAGAGGCCCACAGACCCCCAGGAGTGATCCCTGTGCAATGCCGGGTATGGCCCAAAAAGCAAATATATTCCTCATTGATGTCCATCTGTAGGCTGACAGCTGTTATAATAGTCCTTCAAGGATCGCAAGTCATGTTTACAAGAATCCAAATATGGCAGTAGTAACTAGCATCATGAACTGGTTAAGATGAAATAGTTTTATGTTTTTCTTTACCACTTAACCATTGGCAATAGATGACTGAGCCAAACCGACTGCGGCTGAGGAGGTGAGGGTCCGGCAGAGAAGCGCACCCACATCAAGTCATCACTCAGCCCGCCCCGCCCAGACCCGACCTTTCTTGATTGCTCTCAGTATGCCAATCCCGCTTTAAAGCTGTCAGAAATTGCATGCATCACTTTGAACAAACGCTTCAGAAACACACACAAAACTGCTATAAAAACTGCAGCAGCAGCAAACTAAGCACTATTTTCTTCTGTCTTCCTCTGTAGTTGCATTTATAGCAATCAAAGGTGAAAAACTCACCTTCAGTTCTTTGAATATGCAGACGTTGTTCTACATTTTCCTTTAGTAGAAACCCATTTAGGCAAACAATGGATAGTCTGCTGAACCACACATTAGAAAATGATCTTGAGTCCCCTTTTTGTTCTCTGTTCTGATGCCTCTAGTGAAATCTATACCTCATTTCTTTCAATGTAAGACAATAGCTTTCTACCAGTCTGCCTCTCAAAGATATTCTAAGAAGAATGAATGAATTGAAGGGTCTTTCAGAAAATTGCAAGGAAAGACAAAATTGGTTTTTGTTTCACACCTGGTGGTGCTCAGGAATCAGACCTGATGGGTTTGGGGGGCACCATGTGAGGTACCTGGGATTGAACCCAGCTTGACCCAGCAAGGCAATTGCCCTAAATACTGTACTATCACTCCAGCTCTTAAAAGGCGTAATTGTAAGTAGATATTAATTAGCACTAATACCTGCTAGAGATGGGCATTCCTGAGATCAGCATCTAAGAAATTCAAAGAGCATTAGAAAGTTTCACTTTTAAAACACATTTAGATTTCTTCCTGACTTGTAAGGTTTGGTTTGTATTGTTTATGATCAAACTTTGTGTACAAGCAAAGATAGAACAAAGAAAAAAGGCAAAGGAGCTTAGTAACCAGTATAGTTAATATGTTCACGCTTCCATGAGCTGATGTGTGTTTTTAAAACTAGAATATGCTTTTTCATAGTTATGTCTTAGAATTAGTAGTTAGTCTGTTGTCAGTTAATGGGAAGTTTCTAATGAAATCAGTATTTGTGTCCCTATAGAATAATAAGAATTAGCAAAGAAACACTGTCGTCCAGTTGTTCATCGATTTGCTCGAGCAGGCCCAGTAACATCTCCATTGTTGTTACTTGTTGTTACTGTTGTAACTTGTTGTTACTGTGTTTGGCATATTGAATACTCTCGGTAAGCTTGCCAGGCTCTCCGAGAGACGCAGAGGAATCAAACCCGGCTCGGCAGGGCTGGCTGCTTGCAAGGTAAATACCCTACCGCTGTCACTGTCACAGTCACGGTCCTCCCGTTGTTCATCGATTTTCTCAAGCAGGCCCAGTAACATCTCCATTGTGAGACTTGGTTGTTACTGTGTTTGGCATATTGAATACGTCACGGGGAGCTTGCCAGGCTTTGCCATGCAGGCGAGATACTCTCAGTAGCTTGCCGGGCTCTCTGAGAGGGGCAGAGGAACCGAACTCAGGTTGGCCATGTTGGCTGCGTGCAAGGCAAACGCCCTACCCGCTGTGCTATCGCTCCAGCCCACAATTTACTGCTGGAACATGATAGTAACTTTCTATGAATTTTCTATCTCCATAATTGTTTAAGCAAATGCAATATAAATTATGTAGTTCTGTTAGGTTTTATCCATTGTTTTCCTAAGGTAAATGAGTTTGGCCATTAGACAAAGTGACACATATTTCTCCTTTGAGGTACATATGCATGTATAAACATTTATATTCACAATTACATATATACTTATGTACATACATATTATGTACATGCATTCCAATTTACTAAAGTATTATGTGAATTCAACTATACATATACAAACAACAGAAGCTTCCTAGATGTGCGAGGGGCCACATAAGAATACACTAGTTGGTTGAAGCCAACAAATATCTCAGCAGTAGAGCAAGTGCCTCAGAAGTTTGAGACTGGTAAGACCCTGAATTCCAAACCCAGTACTGCCTCATGGGCCCAAGTGCAATCCCAGTGGCTCTGCTGTTTGGGATTCCAGTACTACATCTGAAATGTGCATACTGCAGTCAATTACACAAAGCCTGCTAGGAACTACAACCCAACTGTGTGCAAGTAACTCAGGTGAAGTGTGCAACCCACTTCATTTGTGGCACTTGCATCACAACTAATGTTTTGTTTAGGGCCACACCTGGCTGTGCTCAGGGCTTACTCCTATCACTGCACTCAGGGGTTAGTCCTGAGGGTCCTCAGGGAACCACATGCATAGTAGGTAGAGCAGTTGCTCTGGTGAACAACCATGCAAGTACTGCCAGTAAAGGAGTGTAAACCATAGTGTGCACTGAGTGTGAACTGTACAAGGTGATGTGCCACCTCCGTGAAGTACATGGCTCAAAAATGTGTGGACACTGCAGCCTATGTGCTGTCCCTAATAGTTCTGTTTGGACTTAGATGAGCCAATTGTCACAGATATGTATCAATAATTGACAAACTAGTCTTTAAACTCCTGCCCACATGAGCCACATATCTTCAAACGTTTTTCCTCTTGGTGGGGGGTTAGAAGATAAGACTACTGGTCCTCAATTGTTCTTGCTTATCAGAGTCACCTGTATGGCTGGAGAGAAAATTGAGACTCACCAGTCCCACTGTAAACATAGTCAATTAGCAAGGGTTGAATGAAGTTCAAGGAATTTTAACTTTTACACCTTCCTTCAAATTCTGATCATTATTCAAGTTTGGGAAAACTGCTTTAAATAATCTATCCAAGGTCGCACAGAACCCTAAAAAGAGCCCAAACCCAACTCAACTCTTAAAAGTTCTACTTAAATATCTTTTCACAGAAATTTGGCTCTTCTTTGACTAAATATGAAAGGTGTAGGATATAAAGTAGAGAGAAAATTAGAAAATTTTGTTCATTTTTACCATATTCTGTTACATTGTTTTAAAGTTAAATGAGTTAATATCTTGTAAAGAGCTTAGAACAGTATCTCACATATGGTAAGTTTATGTTTTTGTTATTGTTTACTGAACAAGCTTTTATTGCCTTGTCTTTCCATTATTAAATTAAGCAACATTGTATTAAATAAACATTTTTGTGTGTAGAGAAGAAATATACTAGGGCTGAAAAAATAGTACAGTGGACAGGACACTTGCTTTGCATGTGTCTGCCTGGAGTTCACCCCCTGACACCCCATATTATTCCCTGAGCTCCACCAGGAGTGATCTCTGACCACTGCTAGGTATGGCCTAATTGACCCCTATTAGGTTTTATTTGATTTCTAAGTTGTTGATCAGAAGTATTTCCACATCCCAGCATTAATTTCTACTAATTAATTAACAAAACAAAACAAAACAAAAAAGGTATAATAAATATTTGTGGAGTCCGCAGCTGCTTTTTTTTAATGTCATAAAAGCCTTGAATTTGTGTAGTTAAAAATACTTCCATCGTTTCCTTGCTCTTTTCTGATATATTGAGCTATATTAATAACACACGTTAAATACAATTTTGGATTTGTAACTGTGTAGTGCTCTTTTATTTTTTTTAATGGGGGAGGGGGTGGGAGTATGATACCCATTCCCAGTTCTGTTGAACCTGGAGTTCTCAGTCACAGGTTCTGCATACCTGGATTCACTCGTGGTGAGGCTCTGCCTGAGCATGTGGAGAGCGGTTGGGAACATGGCAGTGGTTGAGTTCTAGAGGTTTTCAGCTGGGTTTCTTGGGGCAGAGAGGTGCCTAACCCACCCCCATTTTCATTGGGGGCACCCAATGAAACATCCTGGCACAGGGTCAGTGGCATGGCTATGGTG